TGAATTGGGAACCTGGCTTCCAGGGGTCAGCCGGCCCACCAGTTCCCTCTCCAGTATCTCCAGCCACCACGGACAGTTTCCAGCTCCTGTGTCCCCGACGTTGGTCCCCAGGGCTTTGCCAGTCCCCCAAGTGCCCCATGCTTCTGAGATTCCCTTGCCTCCGCCAAAGGCCTCCCAGACTCTCTTGGCCTTTGCTCTCGGCCCTTCGCAGCCTCCCAGAGTCTCCTTGGGCACTGTCATGTCCTGTTTCCTGTCCATGTCACCCTATGCCCTGTGTCCATACCATATCCCATCTCCCTAGTTCATTCCATGTGTTCTCCCTCCCTCCATTCCTGTTCCTTAGATTCATTCTTTAGCTACAGTCACCTTTAGCCGCTTATCTGCCCCAGTCCTCATAGATTTCTTATTTGGTTCATGTATTTTAGTCATTCCTTGCTTATGGTTTAGTTTATTTTCTATGCATTGTGTTCTGTTTCCCGTAGTCCAGCTCCATGTTTTACTTGTGCCTTTAATCGTCATTGTTTAGCTTTTCCCGGGGTGTTTCTCAATGTCAAGGCGCCTGGCCTTGCGAGGTGATGTCTTGCGAGGCCAGGCGCCTTGCTTACGAGGACACGGTCCTTCCTTGGTCAAAGAAAACGGTTAAATGGAACAGACTTGCATCACGTGACCACGGCTCCCACGGCGGTCACATAACGGCACGTGACACGGGAGATAACGTTATATTTTATACGTATTAGTTTCAATATAAATATAAAACGAGCCTTTTACTTTTCAAATTGTGTAAATGTTTATTAAATTAAATATATAAGTGAGTTACTACCCGCTAGCCACCGAAGCTGCAACTACTAAGCAACTAACCAACCATAGATAACTTCTTTGGATCTAAAAAAAACATTTTTAATTAGTTGACTTACTTTTAAACTTGAAAATTGTCCCCGAAGTAGCTGCCGGCTTCTGATCCGCCCTCCTTTTGAAAATACCGTGGTGTATTGTGGGTAATTTTTGATCAAGGCTAGGCTACAAGACACCTCCCGTGTGTCCTCGCTCAGCTAGCTAAATGGCTAACAAACGGAGAACACACGCCTCGGTAGAACATGACCATTGGAACCGATTGGAACACGTCTTGGCGGCTCCCGATGACGTATCTCCTAGGCAACCGGGGCGGGGCGGGGCCAAGACATCAAGGCAAGGTTCCTTGGCATCGAGAAACGCCCCCTGTTTAGTGTATTCTTTCAACATTTAGTTCTAGTGTCTTATGTTTCTGCATCTTGTTTCATTTGTTGAGTTTTAGCTCTCCAGGCTATATTGCCTCCCCTCCCTCAACGTAACCATTCACACCTGTAGGCCGTCCTCATCAGTAATCAGTGCACCTGCTCCCTCTGACTTCATTCACCTCTTCAGCAGTATTTCCTGGTCGGTTCCTTATGTTTTTATCCTTGTTTGTGTTTAAGATCCTTGTAATGCTGTTTATGTTCCTGCTACTGCTCCACACCACAACTTTTATAATAAACCTCTTGGATTGTTAATCTACCTGCTACAACCTCCAATTCCTTGTCACTCTGGGATGAAGTAAAACCGTCTCATCGTCGGTGTTTTTTTCACTAATCTGCTGGGGAGACATTTATTGCTGTTCATCAGAAAGCCCTGTGCTCTTGCCTCATAATGAAAGGCTTCCAAACGTGAGGAGGTCTACGATTATTCAGTTTTAAGGAAAGTCGGTCTCTCTGAAAACAGAAAGCCGTGGTCATGCTAATAGCAGCCGTTAGCTCCAACGATCAGAGTCACGGCGTTGTTTACATCACCTGTAGGTGATGGCCAAAGAACACGGATAAATCCTCACAGCGACGCTGAAGCAGTAAATCTGTGTCCTTATGTATTTGTTATTATTACGCAGGCTGAGACACCTGAATCAGAACATGACCCCGTGGATTTAAATACACCAAGACGAATGTTTTTAAAACGTCTTCTCTAACTAACAAATACTGAGTCACAAGGACTTACCGCGAACCAAATGAGCCTCAGTAACTGTCTGCAGGAGTCCAGGCTTTCTTCGGAGGCCGGGTTGTTACCTATCATCTTTTTATGTATTTCGTGGTCGTTTATGGACAAAATCCCCAAAAAAACGTTTTATCAAGCCTCACACGGACCGAGCAACCAACCACACAGCAAGACTGCTCCATCTGCTTCACTAGATCCTCTAAACGTGCAAAACAACCACATTATAGGCTAAATAAGCAGTTTCTTGCCACACACTCCCATTATGCAATGAGAGAAGCATAAACATTGATGTCACCAAAGATCCTCCTATAATGTAGCCATCACCACCAGTGTGTGAAAGGGTGAATGTTGTGTTGTAAAGCCCTGGTGCTATTTATACGGGCCATTTGCCATCTATGGGTCCTGGTCTGTATCTACAGATGTTTAAACATAAATGGCTGTCTGGATTGTAAAGGTTACAGACTGAATCATTTTGGCTACACAACAGCTGACTCTGGGTGGCAGGACCTGCTGGTGACCCGTGGTGGCCTACATGAACCCGCTGTGTGTGTTGTTTGGGATTATTCTGTAAAACCTTTGAATGTCTGACCTGCAGACGCACGCGTTTGATCTGGGGCACAAGTGAATTGGTGCGCTCTCCTCCCGGGACCCTGTAAAACTATCTATCACACGCGCCCGCGCGCGCGGATATACATCTATGCTGAGCTCAAACACCGCACCCACCTCTCCACCCTCGCGCCGCCCCCTGACTAAAGCCAGCGTGCAGCTCTTTCCTCTCGGCTCGGAGGTGTGTTCAGGTCTGTGTGTGTTTGAGCTCAGCTGCTGCTCGCCTGACGGGACGGACTTCTTATGTCACCAACAACCTAAGTCAAGAAGAATGATGCGCGCGCCCGGTGACGCGCGGGAACGATCTGATTACTAAGTGGGAGCAGTCACTCTTAGTAGTTCATCAATTGAAGTATCCAGGTTTCTGCGAGTCCCCGTCCCTTCAGAGGCAGAGGAAGGGACGGGAGAACCGGGGAGGCGGACCGTAAATCTACGCCTGGATGCGTGGCGATGGATTAAAACCTCTCTGGATCCCGCAACCGCCGCTGGTTTATGCCCCCTGGCCCTCCATCCTCCCCGGGATTATTTTGGCTCTCGCACACCTCCTCTCCTGTCCTCTCGACATGACCGAGGACTATGTCTTCCGGTGCGTCCTGATGCTCTGCAGCGCGCTCATCTCCGCCAACGCGAGCAACTGGCTGTAAGTTTCAGAGCCAGCTCTGGTCTCACCTGTTCTCCTCACTCCACTTTCATCTTCATTCTAACTGTAATGTACCGTTAGTTCAAGTTAATAGTTAACACACACACACACACACACACACACACACACACACACACACACACACACACACACACACACACACACACACACACACACACACACACACACGCACACACACACACACACACACACGCACGCACGCACAAATACGCTGATTCAATGTCTGCAGAGCTTTGACATTAATGCATAAACCTGCAACCAGGTTGCCGGTTCGAATCCACGTTCTGCCCCTGGTCAGAGGGACCGGTGCATGGCTTCTGGCTGTGAGCCCTAGAGCCTGTGTGTGTGTGTGTGTGTGTGTGTGTGTGTGTGTGTGTGTGTGTGTGTGTGTGTGTGTGTGTGTGTGTGTGTGTGTGTGTGTGTGTGTGTGAGAGAGATAGATAGATAGACGTGAAGTGATCCACAGAAGCTGCTTGACTCTGTAACCACTCTCTTGCTTTTCTGAACAACTATTTTAGGTTTGAAGTGATCTTTTTCCATATTTATATAATTTTATTAAAGTGTGTCTTCTTGTGGGCTGCGCAGTGGAGCAGTGGTTAGAGCTGCTGCCTTGCAGCAAGAAGGTCCTGGGTTCACTTCCCGGCCTGGGATCTTTCTGCATGGAGTTGGCATGTTCTCCCTGTGCATGCGTGGGTTCTCTCCAGGTTCTCCGGCTTCCTCCCACAGTCCAAAAACATGACTGTTAGGTTGATTGGTCTGTCTAAATTGTCCTTAGGTGTGTGTGTGTGTGTGTGTGTGTGTGTGTGTGTGTGTGTGTGTGTGTGTGTGTGTGTGTGTGTGTCTCTGTGTTGCCCTGCGATGGACTGGCTCTCCGTCCAGGGTGTACCCCGCCTGATGGCCCATTGACCGCTGGAGATAGGCACCAGCACCCCCCCCCACCCCCCACCCCCACCCCCCGGCGACCCCACATGGACAAGCGGGTTCAGACGGTGGATGGATAGATTGTCTTCTTGTTTCACACAGAAATACAAACCAAAATGTTTACAATTTGCGGTCGGTAACAAGATGGCGCCTGTGCTTGGCTTAGCTGCGGTCACCGGCCACTTTTTCAAACTTTTCTCCACTAACCTCCTCTTTTCCACCTTGCTCCTGTCTGCGATCCTCTTCGGTAGTGTCCCTGCTACCATCTCCTATGATCGCCAGACTCTTTTATCCTTCCGTTCGTTCACGATCGCCCAAGATGCACCGAGGACGTTCCATCCTGTTTGTTTATCTGAGTGGCGCACTGGCCCGGACCCAAATGACGATCCCAACCAGGGCGCCTCCAGCGATGTTTATCCGGTCCCGGGAAAATGTCGGAGGAAAAGAGGTAAACAAGCAGAAATCCAGGTGAGAATAAGACTTCTCTTAAAGCGTGGTTTATCTGGTAAACATCGCTGGGATCTTCTAGCTTCTTGTCCTTTGTTTGACGACTTGAGCGCCACTTCCGCATTCCCACCAGGCCGCGTTGCGTCGCGGTTTCAGCTTTACCCAGCATGTTTCTGGCCCCACACACACCAGGGGGCACACTCTAGACCTTGTTTTTACTCTGAGTCTAAATGCTGACAGTGTTTGTCCTGAGGACGTTTATATTTCAGATCACCATTGCATTTTCTTTAACTTGTCAGTTTCTGCGTCCCCACCTCCTGCTCGCCGTATGGTTAGTTCTTGTTTTCTTAATGAGAGCACAGCTAGCAATGTTTCTGCTGCGTTTGATCCACCCTGTTGTTCTGATAACGACCCAGATTCCTTAACTTCTCAGTTCAACGAGCACTGCCTCTCCATTCTGGACAACATCTGTCCTGTCAGAACCAGATCAGGTCCTGCAGTGAACCCTACTCCCTGGTTTAATCACAGCCTTCGCAGCCTGAAGCGCCAATGCAGAAAAATGGAGCGTTTGTAGAAGAAAGCCCATCTCCACGTCCATCTGCTGCACCTAAAGGATCTTCTGACATCCTTTAACTCTGCAGTCAGAGACGCCAGGGTTTCCTATTTCTCCAACCTGGTGTCCCAGAGCAAAGGGAACCCCAAGGTGCTGTTTAACACCATCAGCCGCATCGTCTCTCCTGCCTCTCCTACAGCCTCCATCCACTCTGTTACAGACTGTGAGAACTTTCTGTCTTTCTTTGTGGACAAAGTCAATAAGGTTAGATCTAGCATCTCTCCTTCAGCCTTATCGCCGCCTCTCCCGACTCCAACCAGGCCCATCATCCTAGATAGCTTTGCTCCTGTTTCTTTGCCTGAGTTAACCAAACTAGTTAACTCTATGAAGACCTCTGCATGCCCCCTCCACATCTTACCCTCATCCTTGTTTAAAAGTGCTTTTCAGTCCATCGGTCCCAGCGTGCTCTCTATAATTAATGCTTCTCTGGTCTCTGGTCAGGTCCCTGCTTACTTTAAGAACGCTGTAATCCACCCGCTTCTTAAAAAACCGAGTCTCGACCCCTCTCTCCATAGCAGCTTCAGACCCATCTCTAAACTTCCGTTCATCTCCAAGATCTTGGAAAAGGTTGTGGCTAAACAACTCACAGCTGCTCTTGATGAACAGAACATCTATGATAGCTTCCAGTCAGGTTTTTGTAGAGCTCATTCTACTGAAACAGCTCTTCTTCGGGTCTCTAATGACCTTCTGACCCACAGTGATGCAGGGGACTGTTCTGTTCTGGTCCTGCTGGACCTGACTGCAGCCTTTGACACTGTTGACCATCACCTGCTACTGGAGAGGCTGAGAGACTGGGTAGGCCTATCAGGATCTGCTCTGGAGTGGTTCTCCTCTTATCTCTCTGAGCGCTCCTTTTCTGTGGCCGTCTCCAAGTTTAGGTCCTCCACCACCTCTCTTACCCATGGTGTCCCACAAGGTTCTGTGCTGGGGCCTCTGCTCTTCCTCCTCTATCTGTTTCCTCTTCAGCACATCCTGAGCTCCTTCAAAGGAATCTCCTACCATCTTTATGCAGATGACATCCAACTGTAAATCTCCTTTAAGCCCCATGAGATGTCTAAGCTGCAGCTGTTACACACCTGCTTAGACTCTATCAAAACCTGGGTGGCTGGGAACTTTCTTCAGCTGAATGAAGATAAGACTGAGATCCTCATCTGTGCCCCAGACAAGCTGGTTCCCAAAGTCAGAGACTCTCTTGGTCAGCTTGCTTCTCACACCAAACCTTCTGTCAGGAACCTTGGCGTGACCTTTGACCCAGCTCTCACCCTGGATTCTCATGTCAGTTCTCTTGTTGGCTCTTCCTTCTTCCATCTCAGGAACGTTGCTAAGCTGAGTCCCATTCTGTCCCGCTCTGAACTTGAGACTGTTCTCCACACCTTCATCTCCTCACGCTTAGACTACTGTAACTCTCTTTTCACGTGTCTGAGCAGAACCTCCCTGAACCGTCTACAGGTGGTTCAGAACGCCTGTGCTCGGCTTCTGACCAAGTCCTCCAAACACACCCACATCACCCCGCTTCTCCTCCAGCTTCACTGGCTGCCAGTCAACTTCAGGGTTCATTTCTAGATCCTGGTTCTGGTCTATAGGGCCTTACATGGACAAGCACCATCTTACATTGGTGATCTTCTTAGTCCCTACACCCCCAGCAGGTCCCTGAGGTCCAGTGATCAAAGCCTACTGGTTATGCAGCACCAGGCTAAAGGTCAAAGGTGACAGATCATCTGCTGCTGTGGCCCCCAGACTCTGGACCTCTCTCCCCCTGAGCCTGAGATCAGTGGACTCAGTGGTCTCCTTTAAAAAGCAGCTGAGGACTCACTTGTTCAAGCTGGCTTTTGTATGACCTTCTTCACCTCTCTCTCTTTATTCTGCTCTCCCCACCTATTCCACCTTCCTCAGGATCCATGGTGGGGATCCTCTTTCGTGTTCACTCTCTCTCTTTCTTTACATTTTTTAAAATCACAATTGCCTTTTTTTGCTCATTTAAAATACATAAAAAAAAATTCAAAATTCTTTTTAACATTTTTACATTTTTTGTTTTTGTAAAGCGCCTCGTGATTTTTATTTTGAGAGGCGCTATAGAAATGATATCCTCTTCTTCTTCTTCTTCTTCTTCTTCTTCTTCTTCTTCTTCAAAGTCTAGTCTGAGTGTAAACATCTAAAACTGGACCTGAATGTAGAGCTGTAGATAGAAGTGGGGGCGGGGCGGGGTGTTGAAGCTCATTTAAGTATCCATCAAACAAAGGTAGGTAGAGATCTCACCTCTCTTTGATAGTTTGATAGTGAGTCTGTTTACCTACGAATCAGTGATCAGGGTTCCTGTCCGGGTTCTATCTCAACATTGATTAATGATCCATGATCACAATCTGACCATCAAAGGAATTGTGAGATGTTAGCTAGGGGTGGTTTTGGTAGGGTATGTGTGTGGTTGCTGAAGAATGAATGGAAGACCATCATGTTTAACTTTGACTTATTGAGGTTTATCTCTCACTTTTTTCATCGTTGTGTGCTTTAGAAAACGTTTGCTCCAGAAAACAGGTTCTGTGTACACCCAGTATATTTACAGTTATCGGAAACAATAAAAATAAGTAAAGTCATGTTTTAAACGTGGGACCTGTAAATCTGGCTCCAGACCTCCAGACGTGGAATTAGCAGCGCATGTGAAACATCTTCCTGTGAGACCTCAGGCCAGCATCATCGCTGTGGTGTTGCTCATTAGCTCAGGAAAAGAATAGTTGGTGCAGGGCAACGGGGACATGTAGTGTGTGTGTGTGTGTGTGTGTGTGTGTGTGTGTGTGTGTGTGTGTGTGTGTGTGTGTGTGTGTGTGGTGGGGATCTGGAGTCACACAGAAGGTCATGTACATAGTATTTACTTTTGGGGATGGGGGGTTGATGGGGCAGCACACAGCCTGGCTGTGATCTGCACCTAGTTGCCTCCTCCTGGGGGCCGGTCCGTTGGGCCTCCTGCTCTCCCAGTGGGAGGCGGTGGGTGAGCTGACGCTCT